CTGTCCGAATTATAAGTAACTTTAGCTTGGTTCACCAAATGAAAAGAAAGCGGCTGCGCTGGCTAGGTCATTTCGTCCAAATGGATGAAAACACTCCAACTTTGAAGGTATTCAATGCAGTACATGCCAGTGGAAGCGGAGGAAAAGGAAGGTCACCACCTCGTTGAAAGAACAGGTGTAGAACTAATTAAGAAGAATAAGAGAATGTGCCTCGTCAATACACCAACAAGGATACTTAGTTTTCCCTTGTTTAACCTTACTAATAGTTTGATCTGTCCACAATCAGCACTGCCCCACAATAATTTGATAGCACGCCCTACGGTGCAAGTCTTCCAGGTTCATTTGAGCTTGCTTAACATACCAGTTTCTAAGTAGTTTTCAACTAGTATCTTGGACTGTAGAGTATACAGAAAAATTAATTTTACAAACGCAATAACAGCATAACTACATAGCTCCAGATCGCTTGAATGCAATGCATCATGATGTGGGTGTGTGCGTAAAGGACCTTGGCTCTGAGCTGGTAAAGTATTTGAGTAAAGCAAATGTTTGTTGTTTGTACATATGTACGAATGGCTAATGTGTTACCAGCGCATGTTTGTTCGCTCTACATTTGTAAGTGCATGTGCGACGTCGCAATTAGAAGTTTTTAGTGAGTTTCGAATGTGTTTGCCAACTTCATTTAGAAACGTTTGCTGACTCCTTCACGTTCTCGTGGTACTTTACTTTGTTGGAATTTCAACAATGCCATAAAATGTCACCAAGACGTGTGCACTAAATTTTGCATAACAATTAAAGCAGCAAAAGCGCTGGAGTTGGCTGAGTTGGAGTTTTATTTCAATCCATCCATTCCTCTCTTCGCATAACAGCGCCAATTGGAAACACCCAATTTATCCTGGTCTTTCTCTGTTTCCATTCAGGCAGATACTATGACCTAGCTAACGTGGACGCTGAGTCTTAATTCGCTGAAATGTGTTAATGTCTCGTAAATATTCCGCAAAATCTGTGCGTTCGTCATGAAATGTCTGTGGTTTTCACAACCAGACCCATATGCTTTATCTTCTTATACAGTTTGAAAAGAACTAACTGCGCGGTTCTGGAATCGAATGATATCTAAAAGTATACCATCAGCGCATTTTACTAGTTTTTGTCTTATCTATTCATTTATTCAGGACGCATAATCTCATCTCCAAAAAGTCACACCAAGCAACTCAGAAAGATCCTTCCTGATCCTGGCGGAGCTCGGAGAGATCCTCTGAAATTATGTTAAGATATCAAACTTAGAACTACCGAAGGTTATTTTAGAATCGTCGAGGAGATAGCACGGGTCCATTGTGTGGTCGCACCGTTCTTTTCGACGATTTGATTGCTTGATGTACATACTCGTATATCTGATCTGATGAAAGAGCAGTAAAACGTCTATACCATCATCATCGATTGGTGGTTCGGGTTGCAATGTCCAATGTTTTCTATAACATTGTAGTTCAGCAAACTGAAGAAATTGTGATTTCACGAACGCGGTATGGGGTGAGTCAAGAACCCATGAAAGAACACCATCATAACTATTTTTGCCACATATACTAAGGACACTGGTTTCTCGCTACTCTCATAGCGAATAATCAACACTTCCCGCTGAATACAAAGCTTTTAGAAGCTTTTCAGCTTTAGAAGCTAAACTGAGAAGGGCAACCGAGAAATCGCCTACTCTGTATGAATTTTAATGAAAATTTTTTGTAGCGCAACGAGCTTATCCGACGTGTTCTGACCAAAAATTAAAACGTTAACGGATGAGTCGGATATCGTAAATATATAATACAACAAGCTGGTTACAACCGCAGAAGAGAGGATAGATAGAAACTAAACACATGGCAGTATCCAGTATTCAATTGAAGTAGAATTACTCGTGTGTAACGAATTAGCTCGAGCTCTTCGTCTGCTGACGGCTGGTCGGGATTCGTTGACACCATTAAGGGAAGATGTATTTACTAATGTACCTGAGTACGAAGTGCAGGCGAAATTAGCAAGTCTTAAAATAAATGTTTGGATGGTAAATCGTCCCAAAGACACTGTCAGTATGAAGGGTACCATTTGTGCTTGATAATCTCTTCCACATATGTATGTTTCATGTGGTGATATATTTTAAATACAGTGTTTCATATCGGTGTTAATTTGGGGGCCTGTTCTTTAGAAACTGATAGAATATCTACTTTTATGCCGGCAAATGTTGAGATGTGGACGTTGTGGCTGCTAAATCAAAAGGAAGGGAGTAAGACCGACCGCATTGGTCTCTTAAAACAGCCACATTAAGTGCAAACTCTAAACGGCACTACTGAGCTCTTCTCATAAATTTGAAGACTCACGTATGTTAAAACAAAAGACCGCAGCGAAAGCTCTTTGTGGTTATTAAAGCGGCTGCATACAACATGCCCATTGATTTCTATGTCAAAAACCTGTTTAAGGCACATAAATAGATCCACTGTCAGTACATATTTAATATAGTCTTTACGGATGATAAAGTGTTGTGGGTAAGCAAGACAGTGACTGTTTACAAACAGCGCAGATCCGTGATCAAACGCACTTCGTCTTGCTGGCCCTTAGTGATACTGATGCTGAGCCTGGGGAAACGATACTTCTCACTCCCAAAATGCCTTAATGTTATATAGTGTATTTTGCTTACTATAATTAATTCTTCCATGCAGTCGAAGAGCAAAATTCCGAGCAACCGATGTTAGGCCGTATTATGGGTTGGATAGTGACGGAGTCCACCAACTTATATACATCCATACAAATATGAGAAAAGTAGTCCATCCTCCTAATGTGAGTTCTCGTCAAACCGTTCTGATGCTACTAGAGGTCTGGAGTTTAGTCTTAACTTTTTAACTGCATATGTGATTTTCTCTCGCTCATGAGAGCCGTTCTCAGCAGTAAAAGGAAAAGTCATTCATCCAAGTCGTGCGCAAACTTTACCATAGTTAGCACCTTTAGCTAACTCGTTAGCCGCATAGAAACCTGAAATGTCTATCGGGGTAACCGAACAGCTCGCATTTTACATACAGTTTAGATGTGGTGGGCTTGCGTTAAAGAGAGTTTTGAGCCTCAGTAAAAATAAGTAGTGTTTTTTGATCCAAATTGTTACAATTGTCCATCAATTATCCGTAAGATGTTGTCCATTCGCCACCAGGCTTCTGGATGTAGATCGGGATAGCATAACATTTGGAGAGAATTTTCCTCAATCTATATCTTTCTGAGTTACTTTCAATGTCAGTACAGAATGTTTTAAAAGATTCACAAAATTTGTACTTCCTTGGTAGATCTCTTGAAAGCCCCGGGTCGATTTTTATCGGATTTAATAGATTTTGTGGTCTGGACAATGAAATCCCAGGTAATTGCATACACGAACTTGCGAGATTAGGGACACTTCTACCCACGACAAAACATGCACAAGATGCTAGTTTAACTCCGTCCAAGGCAAAGTATATGCGTAAACTCCCTTTAGCCAGGGACAAAGACTTAAGACGGCTGAATGAGAACATGTGCATGCGAAAAAATCAAAACGAATCATCCTTTTAGATTGATTATCCATTAAAATAACAAGAGGCATAATAACGGGACATTTTTTTCGGGTTCACGGGAAAAGAACGGGATAACACGCTAATGCTTTTTGCCTCAGCTGTAAGGGCAAAGAAGAGGAGGACTCTATCGAACACTATTTCTACCCTATCCCTGCCCTGCGACACAAATTCCTTAGAAAAAACTTCTTCGACTGTCTCACTGAGCCAGCCACAGGGAAAATTAGAAATCTCGTTGCCTTTATACGAACCGTTAAATCTTTTGAGAAAATGAAGATGGGATCCCCACAGCGGTATCACAATGCACACATTGGCGAAAGTGCGCAGCCGCATCAAGTAAGCTCAGCTCAAGAGATTTTGTGTTAGAATAAATTGAAAATAATTTCTAGTCAAGAACGATGAAAGTCAGTTTTGCCTTGATGTAGGAACCACGAACTAAATACATACCAATCTCTGGTTTGGCCTGAGAATGGTTCGATAGTGTCAAAGCAAAGTCTGAGAATGAGAGGACTTAACGTTAAAAATAAGTTCTTTATGAAGACAGTCAAACGGATGTGGTTGCACTTTATGAAAATACGATCAAAAGACTGGCTGATGCCAGCGCATATGGACTAATTGGTTAACGATGGTGTCGTTTCAGAACAAAACGTAACTAAGGATTTACCAATCTCATTCAGGGAAGTGCATGTGTGGAGACATTGGAGCACGTAATCTGGAAGTGTCTGTCGTACAGCAGACTAATCTTACTTGGTGGAGATAAATTGTGCTAGACTTTCAATCAGCAACGAATGAAGAACCAAAATAACTGCTTAAATTTGTCAAGTAAACAGTAATTTCTTCAAACTAGTCCCACTGTTAGTATCTGGTGTATCTGCCAACACCACAACTTGCTAGAGCTAACCAGTTCAACTTAGCTAACAATTAGTCCTAATTACAGCATCGAGCATTGCCGGTTCGTCACATCCTACAGCGCACCAGACTTTAGACTCCTTTCCAGTCAAATTACTTCAGCAGCTAAAGTTGCAATATCGAGAGAGAAAGGTAAAATGGAGTATTGAGCCAGACATGCCTAAAAAACCCACTCCGTAGTTCAATCTAAATCCGCTCCAAAGCCGCCTAACCACCTAACCGCCTCTTGAGAAACATTATAAGCATGAGCACTCCTATGATGGGCTCTACCGCATACTCCAAAAGCTAAAGTTGGGAAATAATTAAGTCGCTGTATTTATGCAACAGTAAACATATAACTAAGACCACAAAAAATGCGACAAAGAATATTTAATTATTTTTCTTCATTTATTTTAATTTTTCTTCAATCTCCGCTAACAACTTTTCGCCTGAACGCAAAGTGGGTTTTAATTATTTTTATAAATAATTGCCTGATAAAAACAGTATGTCACTGCAAACACCTGCTCACCTGTTCACCAGCGCAACTCAGGCAAGTGGTTGCACAATCACTTCACAGCCAAGTCGACTCACTGGTTTCCCATGTAAATCGAACCCATCGGGCAGCGCAAACTCGCTGGTGCAGTTAGAGTGCCCAACAACAATACACTGGCGCGTAAATATATCCATAAGCTCAGGTGCATTGAAGAAACTCTCACGCTTACGTTTCGGGCCAAACAAATCGATGCGATCATAGATGACGCCCGAGACATGCCAACGTTTGAATTGCACCACTGTTTGGGCATCTTGCAAATCATCACCCCAAACGAATGTCGCCTGACCCAAGTCTAAACCGAGGTCAAGTAGCGCGTCGTTGCGTAGAAAATCCTCTGCATGCGCCACCGTGCCCAAGAGGTTGGCAGATTGTGCGAAATTCACCGCATCCAAGTAGGTTTGTGTACGCAGATCCTTGTAGGGCTCCCACAAGCGCGTGCTGCCAATCGTAACGAAGGTGACGGGAAAAACATTCTGCTTTAGCCGTAACACAGTGCAAATGTCCGCATCGAAGCTCGAGAAGAAGAGTGGTCGACCGCAGCCATGTCTAACCGTTATTTTCAGTATGATGTCAACAAAGCGATTCTTACTGAGCGTTTGCGCCGACTCTAGCGCACCGCTCATTAGCTGCTGTGGCCACTTAATTTCTATATCCAGGCCGAGTGTGTTTGGTAAGCTTTCAAATACTTGACGCAACGTAGGAAATATGCGTTCGTCTGCTGTAGTATTGTGCACATTAAAGCTCGTATACTCGTAGATCTCGTCATCCTCAATGGCGAAGACGCGTCTCTCCTTCAACTGCTGATAGGTTAGATCTTTGATGAGCACATATTCTAGATCATCTTCACCCTCAACGTAGCGATTTCTCGGCGCTGTTTTGAAGCCGAAATCATGCCACACGACCGGCACAAAGTCACGCGTTAGCTGCACATCCAACTCCACCATATCTGCCTTATATTTGTGAGCGTACAAGTAACTGGCAATAGTGTTCTCCACAAGAGGTGCGTCTGCGTTGAAGCTTGCGCCTGCACCCCGTCGACCCACATCCATTGAGGGCCAATTCATGGGCCAGTAGCGTTGGAAGCTGCCACGTAAGTTGTATTCCTCAGCGCCTGCCAACGGACGTATGATCAAATAGGGCAGCGTTAATAAACCAACCTGATAACCATTCACAGTGCTCTGTATGGGCAGACGCAGCACACCTTCCGTACCGCGCAGATCTATAGCTAAAATAAGCACTTCACCCACGCGACTGCCATCTATTGTATAAATGCTTAGCTGGTAAGAGTTTCTCGTATTCACAGCGACTGTGAAACGAAATATGACAATATCGCCTGCTGTGTACGGCACACCGCGTCTGGGCTGTTGCTGAAACTGCGAACGATTATAAGCGTAGCGCGTTACCTCCAACTCTGTGTCGCGCCAAGCGCCTGATACCAATTCAAACCCATTTTGTGATACGCTCATCTTTAGCAGATATTTTGTTGCACGATTTAAGTTCAAATACCGATAGAACTTCATATGCTGTAGCCAAATGAACTTAAATTCGATGGCGTACTCGTTGCGCAACCAACCTTTCTCGTGCTCCACATCGCCAACCGTCATATGTGAGAGTAAGCCGAAGACATCCTTGCCAGGTGGCCGATACATTTGGTATTTTTCTAGCACGCGTCCATATGGCACACCCTCCCACTCATGCACACGCCGTCTGCCAGATTTATCAACGCTGAAGATGAAATAACGATAATGTAGGCGTGCGCTTGCGCAAATCGCCACCTTTGCTGACCAACTCTGCACATTATTCTGCACACTCCATCGGCTAGATGTCATCACAACAGCGCGTTCCACCTGCCAACCACCGAGACGCTCGTGATCGCCCACCACAGCTACGAGCTCGCCTTCCACCAGCAAACGCCGCACCTCCACATTGAAAATACGCATTATCGGTAAACAGAGGAAGCTGCGCGTATCTTCCGCCACATAAACATCTTCCTCGTCCGCCATTGCATCATGTGAGCGGTTTGCATATGAAATTCCGCTACTGGGCATATCCTCGCCAGCGCTCATAATCGCCTCAAAATCTTCCATTTGTTGTTGCGTTAACTTGTATGGTGGCTCGACATCGCCCGAGCTGTGCGCTGTGAACTTCTTCAGGTCCAATGACCATTCTTCACCTTCGGTGTTTGCATTGCTACTAATTTGCGTTTGCGCGCTTTCTGCTCGCCGTAGTGGCACACTGGACAGCAAAACAACAAATATCACATATAGCTGCGCGCTTGGTGTTTTGGCAATCATTGGCGTATGGCCTAGGTGAAATGAAGATAATATTTTGTCTGCAAACTTAATGCTCTTGAAACTCTCGACTAGATTGAGCGCACGGCTTTTAGCTTTTGTTTTCTTTAATTTCTGCCTTGGTCTTGTATTTATTTATTTATTTTTCACTTTTTTTTATTTTGTTTTTCTTTATTTATTTTTATCTTTTTAATGCTGTTTTACTGCGTCTGCGTAGCGTGTTGCGTCGCGTCTTCTAAGGCAGTCGCGTTTATCTAACGTTTTCGTTTGCCGCTTGGCGTTTCGTTGCTAACTGAAGCGCTCTGTAGAAAGAGTAAGAGCAACGCTGTCCGTTAGCAAGCGCATTGGTATTTCTCTCTGCGCGCTTTTTTCTCTGTTTCTTTGTTTTAACGTAGGTCGACTTTGCTGGACCAACAGACGCCGGTAATTAGTAAGACACAGCGAACTCACGCTAAAGCTAACTAACGATGGGAATTGTGGATTACACATAATAACCACCTAAGTTATTTTATCAAAATTGTGAAAAGATATTTTGAAAGACCTAACTTAAAAAAAAAATTTAAATACCACTACATTATATAATAAATACATGATTACATAAGTATAAAAAGAAAAGAAAATAAAGTTAAGTAAATAAAAATCAAATAAAATTAAATAAACGCAAATGAGAAAAAAATAAATAAAAATTTATTAAATAAATAAAATATTAAAAATACATAAATTGTAAATTCAATTAAAGTCAGTTAAAATAAAGCGATAAATAACTGAGAAATTAAAAAAATAATAGAAAATAAAAATTATATACTCAATATTTTCATTCATTACTCAGGTATATTAAAAATAATTATTAAAAAAAATAGATTAAAAAAATTAAATGTATTGAAATAAAATAAAATTAAAAAGAATAAAATAAAGTAAAATTAAATAAATAAAATATATTAACTAAATAAAAATACTAATAAATAAAAATTAAATAATATTGCATTAAATTAAATAATATAAAATAAAATAAAAGAAAACAAAATAAAATGAGAAAATAATAAAAGAAATTAAAATAAAACAAATTAATTAAATATAATCGAATAGCATAAAACAAAAAAATACAAACAAAATAATGAAAATAAAATAAATTGAAATAATAAAACATAAAAGATAAAATAAAACAAAAAAAACAAAAAAAAAACAAATGAAATAAAATAAAAGATAACAAATTAAAATGAAATAGACATAAATAAATAAAATATAATTAAATTAAATAGTGGAATTGAATTAAATAATTTTAATTTAATTAAATGACATAAAACAAAATAAAATAAAATAAAATAAATTAATATAAAATAAAATAAAATAAAATAAAATAAAATAAAATAAAATAAAATAAAATAAAATAAAATAAAATAAAATAAAATATAATAAAATAAATTAAAATAAAATAAAATAAATTAAAATAGAATAATATAAAATAAATTAATATAAAAAAATAAAATAAAACAAAATAAAATAGAATTAAATTAAATAAAATAAAAAAATAAAACTAAAAGAAATTAACTATTATAAATTAACAATATTGTATTCTAAATTAATTTAAGAGCAAAAAAATTAAATAAAGCAAATATAAATAAAACGAAATTGAAATTAAATAAAATAAATTAAACTTAACAAGGTATAATAAAATAAACTAAAACAAATTAAATAAAGCAAAAATAAAATAAAAGTCGTCCGTGAAGAATATTTTAAATGGCAAAATAACAGATAAATTTAAACATATTTTAATACAAGCAAAATCATACATTAAGACATTTCTCATAAATCGGATATCTACTGTAGCTTTCGGTTTAATTAGATTCAAATTTATTCAAACACTTTTTTTACAGCTTTGGGTATGTTTATTTATGGAATGCCGTGAAATTGTCCGTAATTTACATATTCAAAGTAAAAAAAATAATTAAGAAAAAAACAAAAAAAAATATTTAGATTACTTTTTATTTCAAACCTATACTACGCTTGGCATAATCTGTTTCTAATAACTCTTTTCTACTAGCATAGGTATAATCAAATCACTTAAATACAATTATTTCTCAGCTATTAATTACACGTATGTTATATGCCATATGTAATCATATGTAAATGTGTGCAGCAATACAAATATACACCTCCGTATGAGTGAAATGCAAAGAATTTAAATAAAGAAATATTTATTTAAGAGAATCTTCAGCCAACCAGTCTTGCCTACCTGTCATTCGAAAATTCCACAATTCAGTCAAACTCCACATTTGTACATATTTACAGTCCAATTCAGTTCATTATTATGCATTTGCTCTGTAAATATGATTTTTTTTTTTAATTTTTTCATGTTATTTCGTGTTTGTCTCTCTATTATCTTTCGTTGACTTTGTCAATTAACATCTAGCCATATGTTATATTGTATTTTATTGGGCGTGAAATGTAAACACAAAAATAATAAAAAAAATTGGTTGTTATATGTTTGTAAATAGTAATATTTGCTTAACATTTTATTGACTTTTTGTTTACTAATTTTATTTTTTTATTTATTAACGTAGCCACTTGCGAGGCATCATAATTTTTATCTAGTATTCGTCTCTACTACATATTTACAAGTACATAGACTATACTACGGTTGTTAGATTAGCGGTGTTTGTAACGGCACAAAATAATTACCATAGATATGGACATACATTTATAGATCACACTTCATGAAATGGTGAAATGAATCAGTTCAGTCATGTCCGTTTGTGCACACGATAACTCAAGTGGGAATTGAGGTAGTTAAATGAAGTTTCACACACATTCCTTGGGTCACAAGTACAGGCGATGGTGAAAGTAATGAGATATAGAAAATAATGAGATGAGAGATTTTCTTCCAAGAATCGTATAGATTTTAATACTTTAACTCGAAGATTTAACATAACAATTTTTCCACTGTATTGCGCTGCTTTCGTCGCCTGCATTAAAGCCATTTGTACAGCGCTTTTTTCACTAGTAAACACTCTTTTGTGACAACGTGGGCCACCCGAATGCAACAGTCAAGATTTAAAATATCTAGGAAAAAATTTATTCCATTTTTAATACAAAATTTAATACATTTACATCACGCAACTCTGGTCAAGCGCATTTAGATCTACTGGCCCGTTTGCTGATCCTGCTGAGGAGACTCCTTTCCGAGCCCTTTTGCTGATCCTGCTGAGGAGACTCCTTTCCGAGCCCTTTTGCTGAGGAGACTCTTTTCCGAGCCCTTTTGCTGATTCTGATGAGGAGACTCCTTTCCGAGCCCTTTTGCTGATCCTGCTGAGGAGACCCCTTTCCTCGAAAACGATAATAGGCAACACTAAGAGCTGGGCAGTGACAGAGAATTTTCCACCGATTTCTCCTCATCTTTGTTCTTGCAGTTACGACGGAAGTCGTTTGAGAAGCAGCCTCTTCTACCAGGTTTCCCCGTAAGATAGTATCTAGGTATTGCGCCGGTTTTTATGACCAGTTTAGAACGGGGCACACTTAAACCGGTTTCCTCCATTAAAGTCCAGATTTATCTTGCCACATTGCGCATGGTTTCGCTCTGACAGCTGCCATCTGCTGTTGGCCTTTCCGGTGAAGGCTGGTCTTAGCTGATACTTTGCTGTGGAAAGCGGTATACTCCAGGCATGTGCAGAGTTTACCTTAGTTAAGATATGGACAGCTCGATAGCTAGGCTGTTTCCTGCAACATTCCTATGACCAGAGACAGTTGTGACTTTTTTTAAAGATCTCTCTGCATTTTATTTCTAGCTTTGAGGTGGTACAATTGCATTGCAGCGACTTCATAGAATCCTGGTCGTCAGAATATATTTTAATAGTTTGGATTAACCTATAAGAAACGATAAACCTTGAAGTAGCCTCCATTCTCGCGATTAGTTCCGCTTGGAAGACGCTGCTGTGGTCGTCAAGTCTTTTCACTTAATTCTATAGCAATATACTCGGAGTAGACTCCACAACCCACATTACCTTCGAGTATTAAGCGGTTTAGATGGCTACGGATCCTTGATTCAGAACTGCTGCCTACTCTTATTCATTTCTCCCTTAAACATCTTTCAATAGTGATATAGAGTTTAGCATTTGAGCGAGTTCCATGCGGCTCCGTCATGGTTGAATTAATTTTAGTCTTATGGCGTTGCAGCTCGCATGGAATTCTCCGCATAGAGAAAAGATAAAGCAGAATTTCAAGTCCATTCTTAGTAGTTGAAGGCTGCGAACCTGTAATGAGTACGGAAGCCGTCCGCTGCACTTTCCCCTGCTTGCTTTTGTAACTAGCATCGTCTTGTGCTGACTACCAAACTACGACTCCGTAGAATAATATCTATCATATTGACGCTTTGTAGAGCAAGTACACAATATGTGGCCCTAGTCCCCATCTCTTGCCCAACGCCGCATTGCAGGTATATTGCAGCTTTCTTAAGCATTTCTAACGTGGTCCGGTTGCAAATGAGTTTGTTATTTAAAATTATGTCTAGGTAACTAATCTCAAAAAGATCGATCTCGATGTCTTTGCGTAAGCACACAAAAACGTGACTAACATTTTCAGTTGTCAACAATAAAATACTAATTTGATAAATCTCAACTTTTCTATTAAGCCGACCACGTATTTAGAAAAGCTCAAACATGGACTCCAGAAATTTTTATAAAATTTCGCCCAGCTGAAGTTTAATTATAAAGACGGTTCTTAGTTTATATTTGAAATTTTGCAATATTTTTTATTAAAATAAATATATTTTCTATTTTTCTTTTTTTTTATATATATTTTTTCATAATATTTTGGAGCACAGCTCTTCTGTGTGTTAGTTAATAAAGCCTCTGCATAACAATTAAATATTTAAAAAAATGTATTTTGTATATAAATAAATATTTTTAATATTTTTCGATTAAGTTGAATAACATTATTAAATTACATTAACATTAACATTATTTTGGCTTGTGTGACTTGTAGTAAAGCATATTTAAGAATATTATATCATATTTTTTTTCAAAGGTTTTTGGGCATTTTCATCTCTGCATCTACTATAGTTTTTAATTTTTTGCATATTAATTAAATATTGCTGACAAATAAATTTTCAAATTATATATTTTCATTATTTTACTAAATCCTTATTACTACTTTATTGCAGTGTATATTATTTAACACGCTGGTATTCTAATGTGTGTGTAAACGTGTATATCAAGGCTATAAATATTATAAATATATAATAAATTTCATATTAATCTAAAAATTTTTGCCGTTCGGTTGAAATATTTGAAAATATTTACTTTAAAGCAATAATCAAACTAATTTTTGTTTCGCTTTTAACCGAAACGAAAAGCTGTCGTTAATGTTAAATCAATAACAGGTAATGTTAAATCGTTAACAGATGATGTTCAATCGTTAACAGATAATGTTAAGCATTGAAATTGAAGAGTGCTGTTAACATCATAGTAGGCACCCATTTTTAAGTTAAGGCTAACGATGAATTTATGCGGTTTTAATGTTAACGATTTCATTTCGTATTGATAAACAGCCGCCCAAGCGAAATGATTTAATTTTATTGAATTAATTTTGCGCTTATTGAGCATTTCTAGTGTAACATATACATTTGAAATATATCAATAATAACATTATCAATGTGTTATTGTTGTGCATCATTTAACATTTCCATTTAACTTATTTGTTAAAAAGAAAAAAAAACGATTACTCTTTATATAAACCGCATCTTGCACGTGAGTTTTCAAATATTTAAAACATTCCGTGAATTATATAAATTAAATATTGGTTTGATTTTTATTATAAAGTATTTATTTTGTATTTTTATTTGCGTTTTGAAATATTTTTTATATAAATTTAAGTGCGAAAATAGCAAATGTAGTACTTTTTCTTAGTTTTAATATCCTCACAGTTCCAAACACATATGTATATACATATATATTATTTAAAGCTTTGCTCTTTATTGTCAACTAATTCCAACATCATTTTATCACTTTTCGTTGTTCGTAAATAATATATAAATATTTAATAAATTAATATATAAATAAAATATCACAAATAATTTGTTTTCTTTCCTTTTTTACTGTTAAAAGTGACTCTAGCAGTCTTGTGATTACTAAAAAATAGTTCTCAGCTGCAATTGTGCTATTAAAAAACGTACTTTGATTATTATTTTTTCATGAAAATTTACTATTTAAAAAAAAATTTGATTTAATCTAAAACTAAAAAAAATATATTTTTAATTAAAAATAAATAAATTTATATTTCTATCACATCTAGGTTTATTTTTGTGTCATTTCTTCTTCTTCTTCTTCTTCTTCTCAACTATAACAAATATCTGATTTTGTTTTAACCATTCCAGAAGATTATAGTCCTGTGCTTCACGTAAACCTGAAAGAGTTTTTGACTCAAAAAATGTTTAAGCAACTCAAAAACCATTTTTTACGCCAAATTGAAAATCTTCAGCAACTGCAGACAATTTATATATATATATATATATATTTAGTATAATAATAATGCTCTCAAAGAACTGAATATACATTTATTCCTCAAAATCTATTTCGTTGCCTTCAAAGTAAACCTTCCATTGCAGTGGAACTGTGCCAATGTTTTTTCAATTTTCTTATGCTCGTCTTACTTTCTTTCCTTTCGTTGGCTTTCCATAAAGCCGAGTATGAACACGACTTGAATTTTTGCGCGACTTCAACGCCATTTTTTGGTCTCGGCTCGCCTTTTGCAATTCGGTTGTTTCTGAGCCGTAAGTATGGATCCAACTCTCATATAATCAGAAGTCATTATTTCACTGATTTCAATGCAAGATTTTTTTCCTAAATAATGCAGTGTTTATGGAACCCAGGGAGAGTCGAGTTTTCTCAAGTACTAAACATTTTTCAAATTATATTTACTGAATCTGAATCTATTTCTACATTCGATGGTTTTGGAGCACCAATATCCGGCATTGTGTACTGCCATTCTGAAGGCCATGATCTGAGTTCTGGTTCGATTAACATCCAAAAATATGGAAAATTCATTTTTCTAATAGCGTTCGCCCTTGGTAAGAAATGCCAATCCCTTCGTGTGCATCCTCGTATATATATACATAATTCTTTGTTTATTTTGACATGTTGCTCAGCAGTTGGTTTTGTTTGCCATGGATTGTTTATCTTCAATGCTTTCTTTGCTTTATTTGAATTGGTTTGACCACTTGTAAAAATTTTTTCGACTGTTGAATATTTTTAGTCAGTTGTCAGTTGAATATAATTTCACGCCAGATGGCGTAGTTGTCATCGAAAGTATGACGGCAACAAAGTTCTGAAAACTGAACTAACACATCTGTGATTTTAGATTTCATTTATTCCATAACCCCTTTCCTTCGTTCAATGGCTGTTGAAATCACTTCCTAGTTCGGCACCTTGTAGCAGGATAGAGGCTCTCAGTTCATACGAAACTTCTGTTGTCGGTGGAAATCCAAGTGTCAACCAGTTTACGATGTCTATGGCCGAAAGGACAAGGTCGTTGACGTATGCACGTTGGAGAACTCTCACATTATACGAAAGAAATGTCATATATGTACGTATGCAACACAGTAGAAACTCCTTTCATTGTGATTGAGCTAAGCTGCAGAATCTTCCTTCCTTCAAATTGGGCTGCAGGGGTGTACCGTAAATCAGGCTGCTATCTCACCATATTAGTGACAAAATGTTCAAGACGAAGTTGTTCAGACTCTTGTCGAGAATAAATAACTACGTTGGCAAAATATCTGCTCCATTCTTTTCTTATTTCGTCAAAATTTTTTATTCTGAAGTAAAATGGCGTTCCATTGTTAACCTTTGGAGCCAGATCAAAGCTAGTTATCTCCATAAATTCAATATTGCATTAGCTTCCGGTGAACTCATATAATATTTGCCCTTAAAAATTACGGTTTCAATTTTCACTGAAAATCTGGATTTTACTTGTAAATCATGGCCTTCTTGTATTCATATTCAATCCTTCTGTACGAAATGGAGATGAAAGCGATAGGGGTTTTTAAAGCTGGTTGTTCAATAATTAATTAATTATAATAATATTGGAATTACTCGCCAACTTCATTCGCTTAACTCACGCTTTCTCAACGGGTTCGCAACGCATTCGGACCGTAACTGCCATCGTGTACCCTATTCGCAAGGTAAAGCAATCCGTATTGTTAAATATGCGGACTTCGGGATATAATTTTTTTTCTCCACTTTATATTAAGTTTTCGGAATTACTCCAGGTATTATGGGTCTCCGCCGTTAAGGAAATTTTGCACTGTAAATTATCATCAGTGCTTAGGGAATTTAAAATATTTTTCATCAAATGATCTTATTGAGTGATCGATGCTGAGATCTGATATTAGTCCTTCTGTTATTTATTATAAATTCCGAGCATAATCTCATCGCTTATTAATTATACAATGAGGCTAATAATTGATCAATATCCAAGGAAGTCTTCAAATCCAACAACAGCGTATATTTTTAATTTTTATATATTTTTTTTTAATTTTTAATTTTTTTTATATTATTTATTTTATTTACAATTTTTCCATTAATGCTGTTGATTGGGTTATTTATGAAAGAGATAAGATCAAAAGTCTCTCATCATGTGCTTTCCAAATCGTTGTAACATCTGAATCGGAATTCTGTTTTCCTATTGAGTTGGCACCAGAGTTTTCCATTTGATGAAGATTTTAGCTCCTTTAATTGTTTTTCATTGTTGATCTACTCAATTTAAAGATGCTGAATTATGTTCTCCTTCAAAGCGTGTAGGAAAGAATTAGCTAATAAAATAATTCAGAGAACATTTTTTAATTTTTAATGTGCCGAATTGCGTGGTTTTGTTTTCATTGCATTCCTTCCTTGAATTTTTTTAAAAATTACATCAGTTTCAATTGAGTTTTCATTGGCTGTTTCTTCGCTCCTATCCAATTTACCGCTTCCTTCATATTTTGTAGACTAGCATCTTTGTTTCTTCTCTTTTTATTCTTCTTCTTCCTTGTTGGCGTTCTCAAACAATTAAATATAAAAAGATAGTTGTCTTGTAAAATGTATGCACAAATTTTTTTGTGACTTAAAAATTATAAAATACCAGCTATTAGCACAATTCTTAATTAAATATAAAAATTTTAGTTTTTGTAAAAATTAATTATTTTGTTTAAATAATTTGTTTTTCGCCTGAGCAAAATTTTGTATTATTTTTCTAATTTAACTAAAATGAAAAAATTTTAAAACTCAATTGTTAATTGCTAATTTAAATTAAATTACAAAATTAAATTTAATTACATTTTATAACTTTTCAAAAGATCATTTTAGAAAATAAATTAAAGAAATAAAAAATAACGAAAAAGATAAAAATTATATATATATATATCTACAAAATAAAGAGTCAAAACAAAAAAAAAATATAAATGTCACTAATATTAGTGTCATTTTTAATTTTTAATTAAGCTAGATTAAGATTAATGCAACCAAGTCCAAAGCTATAAGGTAAAATAGTAATTTTTTAGTATATATATATATGGTGTCCATTAATTATAGCACGACGCTCCACGCTTCAAACTCCACTCGGTCTATGTGTTCCAGTGACGCTCACACCCTGTACAACGTTCACTTAGTACTCACTCTCAATTAAATTCAAAATTCTTGCAGTGAGTTTACTGAAAGTGTCTCTTGTTTTCCAACAATTTTGTCAGGGGCAGAATTACTTACTGCTTAAGAGGGTCACCGCAACAGCACACAAATCCACAAAGGCGCTCAAACTGTCCGCGTTTGCTATTGTTTGGCTGCCAATATATACATACAGTTGAACATTGCTACTGTACCTTATGTTTTTGCTTTGTTGTCGCGCTCGCTCTACGATCGGCGTTCGCCAGCGAACCACTTAGATCGTAGGCAGCAAGTAAAATAAATAAGAAAACAGTTCCAAATTATTTTCTGTATTATTTTCTTTAAGGGAACTATTCTTTCATATTTTTTTTTGTTTTTTTTTTCCAAAAATATTTTAAGCGTATTTTTTTTTGTTTTTTTTTTTCTTCTATCCTTTTAGCAATATTATAGCATATTTAAAACATAATTTTCTTATAATTACATTAGCTTTGTGTGTTTATGTATATAAGTGTGTATAGATTAAAATTTAAGTAATGCTACTTTTTTGTTGCTCTTTCCTTTATGCATTTGCTTAAGTGAGTTTTCTTCAAATATTGCTCTAATATTTATCTGTGTATGTTTTCATAAAAAAATATATTTTAGTATCATATTATAAAAAACGTTGTTCATGCCTCTACTCATATGCCCATATAAAAAAAAGTTGGCATGTTAACCCCCCCACTTTGCACCGATCGGCAGACCTAAGTGACATTTCCACTTATAAACTACCCACCCTAATGCGTTTTCGCACGCCCCTCCTTATCACTTTCTCCTTCATCAGCTTAGCGCAGGCACTGATCCTCGAATTCCGCCAACAGACTAGACGAGTTGAAGAATGCACGTTCTTTGCCCTCGGGTATATACAAATCCGTGCGATCGTAGCAAGTGGCAGTCGCACCAATTTCAACGAAATACTTAACACGCTCCTTCGAATTGCAGTCATCACCCCAGACGAGTGAGATCTGACCCAAGTTCCGTGCTTTCTGCAACAACTGTGCACCCTCTTCACTCAACAAGTCCTCCGCATGTGGCGCAGTGCCAGCCAATTCGAAAGCTTGCGCATTATTTATAGCCTGCTCTACAGTGCGTGTACGCAGATCCATGAATGGCGACCATTTCTTGGTTTGACCTTGGGTCAAGAACATCACAGGAAAGAGATTTTGCTTGAAGCGTAACATTGTGCATATATCGGCATCGAAGCTAGAGAAGAGTAACGGTCGACCACAGCCGTGATTGATGACGGTCGCAAGCACGCGATCGGTGAAGAAATTCTTATCGATTGTCTGGTGCGCTTCGGGTGCGCCGCTAGCACGACGCTGTGGCCACTTGATCTCCACATCGATGCCCAACGACTTGGGCAGACCTTCGAGTACGTCGACTAGCGTTGGGAATATACGATGCTCCACACGTGACTCGGTGTTGTGTGAGGGAAATTCGACTGGTTTGCCATTTATAACGGCGAATACACGCAATTGTTTTAATTTCTCGTAGCTCACATCTTTGATCAACACATATTCCAGTTGCTCGATTTTAGTGATCTCCTTACCCTGCCGCGCTGTACGCATGCCAAAATCGTGGTAGATTACCGGCACACCATCGGCCGTTAGATGCACATCTAATTCAATCATATCGGCGAACTTGTCGTAAGCGCGCATAAACGAAGCAATTGTATTCTCACGCTCTGCTGGCGGATCGGCAATGTAGCTGCGTCCGTTACCACGATGGCCGACATTCAAATTGGGCCAACTCTTGGGCCAGTAATGCGCGTAAGTGGTGCGGAAGTCAAGCGTTTTATCAGCGAATGGCTTGACAATCAAATATGGCAGCGTTAGACGCGCAATAATGGTGGTAGCCTCGGGCACCGGCTCGGTGATGGACAATTCCAGCACACCTTCGCTGCCTGCCAGCTGTGCGGCAGTAATGACTGCCTTGCCGATAGCGCGCTGATCGGGCGTGTGAAATAAGAGCGCAAAAGCGGTTTGCAATGGGCACGGCGCTGTAATGTGGAATACAACAACATCACCACGTACGTAGGGTATGCCAAAAGCCTGCTGTGGTTGCAAATGGCTCTCACCATATTTCAATTTAGCCACCTCTACATGAACACCAGCCTCGGTTGGTTCGCTTTCCTCATTCAAAGGCAATATCTTAACCAATACCTCATCGGCGGGATCGAATTTCTCAATATCGAGTACTTGAAACATTTGCTCGCGCTCGAACTTCAGTTGCACAATGCAATCATTAGTCAACCAACCACGATTCACTTGCGTCTCACCGCTACCATCGGCATCGCCGAAACGATCCACACGCGTTTTGGTGCCACTCATTGTTAACTCCACATCAGCAGGCTTCAACACGCGCGGCTGCAGGCGTGTCTCCCAACGACGTATCTGCTTGCGGCCCTGCTTGTCTTCCACATAGATGAAATAACGGTAACTAATATTGCGACAAGTCTGCAATAGCACATTGGCCTGCCATCTAATGCCGCCCTGTTGCGGTTCCAGTGCAATGGCACGCTCCAAGCGCCATTCACCCAAAGCCTTCACGTCACCGGTGAGTCCGACACGTTCGTTAGGACCCAAATCGGTATGCATTTCGACGACGAATTGCTGCAGGGTAGGCGTGCATGGTCCGGTAGTCGTAGTTTGCGCAGCGGTATCCAAAACAAGCAACTCGTTTACGATTGCCGCGGTGTCCACGTACGAGGCGCACTGCAGAAGAAAGAGCAAAAGAAAAGGACGAAAATTTGTTAATTTTATACGAAGTGACATTTTTAAGAAATTTAATTTAATATAAAAGCGATTTAGAAGCGCGTGAACCGAATCTAACGCTTGTCAGCGCTTAACTGTCGACACGCTTGATCGAGATCTTAGAACTAAGCTTTGCTTTAAGTGGTTTAAATGCTGCCGCAGCTGCAGGTATTGCTGATTAAGCTCAGCTGCAAATTGAAATCCGAGCAGATTATTCACATAGCAGCTGATAATACAAATACAAAGACAGATACTTTGTTGAAGTCAGGTTGAATGTCAACTGCTCAGATCATCACGTGCGTCAGACAAGCCTTCTATAACTACAAACCCGGATCTCAATTGATAAGCCAAGCAGTTTCCTGAGGTTTTTAATACGGCTTGGCAAGACAAAACACGTGAGATCTCTAGAAAACAGATTGCGCTTTTTAAAGAAGCGGGCGTTTGCGTTACTCGCAGCTTATCAAAATAAAATTAAATTGTTCTATTAATATCAAAACAAAAACAACTGATTAGAGGACAAACAAAATTTCATAATCATTATGTATATTTATATACTTTTCGCTATTAATTTAAAATATTTATCAATCGAAAACAAAACATATTGTTTCGGATGATCTGCCAAATATCCCTGAAGCTTTAGCCTTTACGAAGGATTTACTAGATTAAAGGATCAGAGCCAGGAGGATAAAGATAAAGATATCCCATAATTTCAAAGAAGATTTGGTAGAAACTGGAGAGCAATAAAGCGAACTCAAATAAAGTAATTTAAAATATAATAAAATTAAAATAAAGAAAAATTAAATATAAAACAAGTAGAAATAAAATAAAACAAAATAATATAACAAAAAATATAACTAAAATAAAATAATTTAAATTAAATAAAGTGAAACAAAATTAAAATAAAATAAAATAAAATAAAATAAAATAAAATAAAATAAAATAAAATAAAATAAAATAAAATAAAATAAAATAAAATAAAATAAATATAAAAAAATACAATAAAATAAAATTAAACAAAATCAATTTAAATTAAATTAAATTAAATTAAATTAAATTAAATTAAATTAAATTAAATTAAATTAAATTAAATTAAATTAAATTGAATTAAATTAAATTAAATAAAATAAAACGTAATAAATTCAATCAAACAAATTCAAATAAACTAAATAAAAAATTAAAAAAATTAAGCAAATAAATGAAATAAAAGCAAAGTGAAATTAAATATAATGTATAAAACCAAAATTAAATAATACATAATAAAATGAAGTATAATAAAATAAAATTTAATAATATTAAGTAAAAAAATGTGATACAAAACTAAATCACATCAAAGAAAAATAAAATTAAGTAAATTAAAATAAATCTAATTAAATTAAATATAACAAAAAAAATTATATTAAATATTTAAGATAATATATTAATAATATAATAAAAATATCAAAATTATAAAAAATATAAGAAAACAAAATAGAAAACAATTAATTTAAAAAAGGCAAAATAAAATAAATGAGTATAAATTAAAATAAGAAACAGGCAAATTAAATAAAATCAAGAAAAATATAAAATAATAATGTAAATAAAAATAAAATTATAAAAAATGAAATAAAGTGAAATAAAATCAATTAAAATAACACGCAAATAATATAAAATAATATTAAATTAATTTTAAATTATTCTAAAACAAAATTAAATTAGTTAATTAAAATTAAATTTAATTAAATATACAACAATAAATTAAATAATGCAAAAAAAATATGAAACTAAGTAAAATGAAATAACTTCAATTATATTAAAATCAAATGAAATAAGGTGAAAAAATTAAAAAAAAAAAATAATATTGAACAGATTGAAATAAAATATTATTATTTAAAATTAAACAAACTTAAATTAAATTATATAAAAGAAAATTAGAGCAAACAAAACAAAATACATAAACATAAAATTAAACTAAATTAAAATGAAATTAAATAAAATTGAACTAAATTAAGAAATGAAATAAAAATGAAACATACTTTAAATGGCGGCCTTTGTTTTTTTTTTTAATTGAGAAAGCATGTCTGAACACGTTAACCGATTTGTAATCGAAACACATCGGGAGATAAGAAAATGTACATAGTTTTTTATTTATTCTAATCCCAAGCCAGCAAAATTGCTCAATTTAATTAAATAATATATGCTAATTAAAGTAAAATAATATAAAAAAAAAAATTAAAACTAAATAAAAAATAAATATTAATGATGAAATAAATTTAAGTAAAATAAAATGAAAATTAAATTATAATAGAAAAGAAAAAATAAAACTAAAACGAAATAGATTAAAATAAAATTAAATAATATAAAAACAAATCAAATAAAATCAAGTAATACAATATATAACAGATTAAACAAACAAAAAATTAAATTAAATCTAAAATAAGTAAAATTAAATTTAATTTTATTATAAACAATTAAATTTAAATGAAATAAAATAAAAAATTAAAATAAGTAAAAAATCAAATAAAATAAAAATAAAATAAAATAAAAATATTTAATTATTCTGATTGAAAATAAAATTAAATTCAATTAAATATATTAAATTAAAATAACATATAAAAAATAAAATTAAATAAACCAATATTAAACAAAATTAAATACATATAAATTAAATTAATTAATTTTATATAAAGTAAAATTAATAATTATGTTTCAGCAAATGGACAAAAACATTAGTGCAGAATTAATATGTGCGATAACAGAAAAACCAATTTTTAAGAACATTTTCATAGAGCAGTATTTTATATGCCAAACTATTATAATATAATTAAAGCCAATAAGCAGAAACAATAACAATAGCAGCAAAATCAACAACACTTGAAGTGTTATTTAATACCAACTTTTTTCGCAAAAACAAATTTAAAAAACAATGATACCTGTTGACATGATTTCTTGGAGAAGGTTGTTTGGGAAATTGATTGTGGATTGTTATAACTGTTGTTCAATGTCTGTAACAATGATAATTATTTGTTTAGAAATTTTAACAATTTATTGAAAAAGTAAAAAGCAACAATTGCAAATAATTTAATTCAGATGGAAGAGAGAATTCCTGAAGCATTTTTAATTGACGCAGCAGAGAGCAAAAAAACGAGAAATTAAAATTAATTGTTTTCTTACTATTAAACGCTTAAATGATAACAACACTATTAAAATGTAATTACATTAAATAAAAAAACATTAACATTCAATGGTACTTCAGATTACTACACGGCAACACCTGCATTTCAATTACCTTGATAATTTGCTAATTTTCAAAATGTATCAATAAATATTAAGCCTTCACTAGAAAATTGAGGCATGACACATGGCGAAGTGTAGGAAACGTATATTTGTTGGTAAATAATATGGGAAAAAATTAAATATTTATCTGTTGGGCGCTGGTTTGTCATTGAAGTGATAGCTGACTGCAATTTATTTATTTTATTTACTTGCAAAAACACTTTCGTATATTTATACATAACATAATAGATGTGGTTATCTGAGTCTGTAGTATTATGCATATATATTATATAATAGTAACAATCAGGTAAATAAATGAGTTTATTGAAATCGGTCATTGCTTTGCAAGCGTGTCCCTGACATAATTCTAATATTCTTCTACTACATACAATACGTAAATTAAATTTACCAACAACAACAAATTGCCGCTTATTTCAAATATGTACATATATGTTTGTTTTTGTTTTTGTCTCAGTTTGATGTGTTTAAAAATTTTGTTTTCAAATTTATGAAGGTCAACAATATTCACATTTTAAATATGTATGAAGCATGCGGAAATTGAAAATATTAATTGATGGAAAACTTAATATGGATTCATGGAAAATTTTACATAAAAAAAAATATTTGATATTATATCCTTTGCCACGTTTAAACGGTAAAGAAAATGGAGAAGGTTTGTTTTTTCTACAGAGGAAGTGTTTAGCATACTAAATGTACATACATACATACACATGCATGTTACCATTATATATTCTTAAAATATAGGCAAAGTTATTAAATTGAATACATTAAAATTAAGTATTTATATTTTAATAATTTTTTATCACTCTGCAAAGTTTTTTGCAGATTTTTTTAGCGTCTGCTACCTTTTCTTGAAAAATAATTTTTTCTATTTATACAAATAAAAACATTTTTTTTAAATTTTTTCAAACAACTTTTTTTAAAAGTTTGCAATTAAAAATGTTTTTTAATTTTTTTATATTCTTATTATTCTTTTAATTCAATTTTTTTTGTTTTTATTATGAATTTTAAGTAAACTCAGGCCTTCAGTTTGTTTGTGTGAATTGAATATTTTGTTATACAACAAAGAAAAATGGTAGAAGTGACAATTATTTATTTATTTTGGTTTTTTATTTTAATATTGGTATCCAATTTTTTTATTTTTATTTTAATTAATATTTTTAATTTAATTTTATTTTTTAAAATTTTTTAGTTAATTTTCTAATTTTTTTTCAATTGGTTTTTTGAAATTAATTTTAATAAATTTTTATTTTTTAATTTTTTAATATTATTTTATATACTGCTTACCATTTACCATTATTTTTGTTTTTTATTTCAATTTTAGTTTTTATTTTTTTTTTTTAATTTAATTTTAATTCTTTTAAATTTTTTCTTCTTATGTTTCTTTTGTTTTTTTTTTTAATAAATTTTATTATATTTTTCTTTTTTTAATAAATTAACAAAAATCCACTCGCAGCTAATTAAACACATACAAATTGATTTGTTGTGTCCGGCTCTTCTTCTTTAATAATATTTAAATATTCTGCTATTTTTCTTTATGTCAAAACTCATTTGTTTGTTTCGCCCACATTCAATTAAATTTTATTATGTGTCTCGCTTTCACAAGCATACAAATGACGTGAAGAACACGTGATCACGTGTTATATAGAGCAAAATATAAATTATCATTATTTATGTACATTGTTGTTTAAAGCTTTTTCAAAAATATTTTTTAATCGCCTGGCAACAAGAACGGAGAATGTTAAATTGTATATTATAAGCTTCAAGGCGTGAAGTGAATGCAAAATAGGATTTTATAGAGCAAGTAATAAAAACGGTGCAATGTAGAAATATATAAGGGATTTAAAAGATTTTTTGAAGAAAAGAAAAACAAATAATTACTTTATGTCAAAAAAAGCTTTCCAAATTTCTAACTGCAAATATGAGTAAGTAGAGCTAAAATCTCGACTTACAATAATTTAAGTTAATTAAAACTAAAATTTGTATAAGCACTCATCATACCCACATTTATTTATTATTCTATCCAAAGCACAGCACAAATTTTATAAAGCTTTTTTTAAACTAGCTTTAATTTCAAATTTAACAACTTAAAGCTCTGAACTTTTCAGCAATCAACGTAATGGAGCTTTCTGCAGCTTTCCATATCTCACAACATAACAGCCGTGACACCCTTACTGCTGCACGGAGCGCGCTTAGCAACAAAAAGTGGATTTATTTTTACTCGAAAATAGTTTTTCTGCTAAATAAACGCGCACAGGCTATTTCACATGGCGAATGCGTAATCTATATGGCCATTTACCTTTCGCACATCTTCACATTGCCACACCCACAACACAACATACAACTTGGAATAGTTAGTAAAGTGTATAGCCAGAACGAGAAAATACATACAACAGCTGCTTGCTGTGGTAACTATAGCAACGCAGATGTTGATTTATAATTTACCTACAAGCGCACACGGCGTATACGTAACAAAAAAGGGAGGGGGGAAAAAAAGCTTTCACTGAAGATAAAATTTTTTTTTCACTTTCTTTTACCTCAACACCACGTGTCTGCTGGACTTGTGTTGTTGCTTTCTGTTTCGCCTCCAACTCGTTGGTAATTAATAAATTTGTGCTTTCTATGTAGTCAATATTCCTATTATTGACTTCAGCTGCTGTTGGCTCAGCTGTTGCTTTAGTGGTTAATGGTTTTGTTGTTGTCGTTGCTGTTATTGTTGCTGTTGCACTTGTGCCATGCGACCTTGAACTGTATAGTAGCGAGAATTTTGTCACAGCTGCCACGTGAAAGCAATCAAAACATTGACTAAAATTATTCGCGTTGAACACATGACGTTTGGGCGAACTGGGTGCGCTCGCTTTCTCTTGTTGTTTTTCTTGTCGTGGCGGTTGTGTTGTAACAACAGTGTGTATTGGTGTTGCACATTTTTTCAGCGTTGCCAGATAGCGTTGCTGTAGGTTTTTATGCATTGAGAAAGCGTAATGAATTTGGTTTCAAAAATCGCTTAGCATACACTACGCGAAGAAAAGCGCGAAAAATTTTTGAAAAAAAAGGATTAATTATTAAAAAATTCGGAGAAGAAATTTTATTTATTTAATTTATTTATCGCGTGTTTGCTATGAAATTCACGATATTCGACTAATGTGCTTTCGATGCTTGGCTAGCAGAAAAAGTGTCTCGCCAAATAGCAGAGCGCAAAAAATTAGGTAAATAAGGAAATAGACATACGTAGAGCTTTGTTACTCTTCTTTGCAAATTACATATACACGACCATTTGTACGTATGTACAAATTGTTGGCATAAAATTGTTCTTTTACATGTGTGCTAATGTATTGTTTACTTCAATTTTATATCTAGTTTTGCGCATTAAGCCTAGTTGTTTTTGTTGCATTTATGTTGAGTATTTTTGTTTTCGTAGAAAATGATTTTTTTTACTAAATCAATTCTCTTCTTATTATGGATTTTTTGGCTATATTTCAAAAAAAATTCCTGCCAATTTATATTAGTGTACTCTCCGCTTTTCTTTTGCGTGCTTATTTCGTCATTTGTTCAAAGGCAGTGGAATTTTTTGTTTAATAAAAATAATTCTCTTCATTATGACTATGTGAAAATTTTGAATAACATACAAGACGATATAATAAATAACCAAGCATACTAATTTAAAATTAAATAAAATTAAATCACGTAAAATAAAATAAAATTAAATAAATCGAATTAATTTAAATAAATTTAAATTAAAAAATTTAAAAAAAATAAATAACCTAAAATAAAATTAAATTAAAATCAACTAAATTAAATTAAACGAAATTAAATAAATAAAACAAACAAAATTAAAGCAAACTAAAATAAAGTAATATAATTTAATACCAAACAAAATAAAATAAAATCAAATAACACAAAATAAAATAAATAAATCAAAATTAAATAAAAAAATTAACATAAACAAAATTAAAAAAAAAAAATAGCATAAAATAAAATTCAATAAAAACAAAATTAAATTAAATTAAAATTAATTTAATTAAATTGTTAATTAATAAAACAAAAAAATAAAATAAAATAAAATTCAATTGAAACAAAATTAAAATAAATTAAAATTAATTTAATTAAATTGAACCAAGTTAAATTAATAAAACAAAAAAATTTAAATCAAATAAAAACAATAAACTAACAAAAAATAATTTAAAAATAATAATAATAATAATAATTGAAGTAATGAAATAAAATAAAATAAAGAAAAATAATAAACAAAAAAAATAAAATAAAAAAAAATAAATAATTAAAATGAACTCAAATAAAAAAATAAAATCAAAAAAAAATAATAAAATTAAATTAATTAAAACAAACAAAAAATAAATAAATAAAATGAAAAAAAAAAAAAACTAAATAAAATAAAATATAACATAATACAATAAAATACAAAGAATAAAACGAAATAAAATATGAAAAAAAATTAACGAAAGTTAATTTTGATATAAAATTTAATGGGGTTTCTTTTTACGTTATTAAAATAATTTTATTTACGTTAATTTTATTTTACTTTATTTGAATAAACGAAAATAAAATATAATAAAATAAAATATAATAAAATAAAAATATAATATATAATAATGAAATAGAGTAAAAAAGAAATGAAATGAAATGAAAAAAAAAAAATAAAATAAAATAAATTTTCATAAAAAATTTAATTGAGTTTTTTTTTATTTAAATA